GAGTCACTCTTCAGATAGTTGATGATCCCCCAAGAAGAGCCACCTCTTGTTGGCTTGCAGATCTTTGGAAGCGCCTCTTCGTCCCTCTGTGACAGCTTCGCCTTGTAGATCGAAGCCACGTCCGACTTCTCCTGCTTCAGAGATTCCACCCGAGCTCTATGCAGCGTTTCAAGTTCCAGCTTCACCTTAGACTTGAGGATATGGAAGAAGCTGCTCTCCACGAAGTCCAGAAATATTCTCATGAACTGCTGCATGCAGCTAGCGCGGATTGAATGCGACAACTCGGGTTCCTCCAGTTCCTGGCTTTGGAGTTCCGTAAGCTTCTTGTTGAACTTCACGCTATCGAATTCGTCCAGGCAGTCCGCAAGAATGCATTGCAGAAGACAATCGTCTGTGACAGCCACCTTGTCCTTCAGAGATGCTGCAAGCTGGACTTTCTTCTTGAGCGCGACTCCCAGTTGTTCCGCACAGAAATCAAGCCACTGCCTGAAATGGTCTCCTGCCGGATGATTTTTGACACGGTTTTCTTTTCGACAAGGAGATCAAAGTTGTCGGATGAAACAACCTCACGAGCACCGCCGGAGTTTGTTATGATCTGAGCGTCCACTCGAGAGTGATCCCTCGAGATTACAGTGAAAGTCTCCCCAGAAGTAATAGTCCCGGAAAACCTCTTGCTTTCTCGAGCAATGACGAAGGATCTGTCATAGCCTTCCACCGCGACTTTCGATCCAATGAACACTTTCTTCTTCTTGTCCGCTGCTAGAACTTCCAGCAGCTTCGCCTCCATCTCCGAAAGCGCCTTCCCGTCAGCTTCTATGGACTGGCCGTTCCACCCTTCATGATACTTGCTGAAGTCTAGCGAGCTTGTGCAGGCCCGGTTTTCGCCATCTGCCCGAAGCTTTTCCTCCCACGGACAGACGAGCCTCAGGTAGGCACTCAGACCTCAACCTCCTCCTTTTTGATGTTCGAGAGCTCTTCAATGCTAGAAAACTCGCTAGCTGAGGCGCCAATCTTTTCATCCAGAGTTGCCAATGCCTTACACAGCTCCTGACCAACATCCGGCATGGCGCTATCGCAGAAAAGGATAAAGTCCTCGTCCTTCATCTCCGTGTAGTCGATCTGGACGTCCCCCCAGCTCTTCACGACTTCACCGAGCTTCTCCGGTGCCACGGTCGCGTGATCGTGCGAGAAAGACTCCTTCGGGGTGTACTTCTCGGTCTCAAGCAGCCCAGTGCGATAGAAGCCTTCGCTAAGCTTGCGAGGATCGACGCTCCACCTCCGGCGGGCAATCGAAAGCCTCACCTGACGTTGAAATCGTTGTCGCTCGACTTCACCATGGAAACTTGGAGCCGCTGAGTCCGCTTTCTCTTGCTGCTCGACGTGCCAATCGAGGCCATGGACGCGCCACCATTCCCCAGCTCAATGCAGCTATACACCACGTCGCACAGCTCCACCAAGTAGCGTATGAAGTTGCAAGAGATGTCGCTCCTCCTCGCATCCGTGAACTTCTTGCTCGGCTGCCAGTAGAAGATCAAGAACTTGCGGCCGTGCAAGGCACCGTAGAGACCCGCCGGAAGCTGGTCGGACCTCAGCTTGGCGATGTCCTCCTCAGAGAAGGCGTTCTCTCTCGCAAAAATGTCCACTAGCAAGCCTTTGCTCCCGTAAAAACCCACCGTCTCCAGCGACACAGCCTCCAAAAGGCTCGTGTCGAGAAACCATCGCTGATCCTCCACCCGAATGGATCCAGGAGCAAGCTTGTTGAAGAGCTGGAAGATCTGGGACTCCGACAGCAGCACCTTCTCCACAAAGCTCAGGTCTTGCTTGTCTCAATGACATTGAAGAGAGCGCCAGCTTCTTTCGAGGTTGCCGCGGCGCTAGCAGCAGTAGGAGAAACCACCACCAGATCACGCTCCATGTCGTCTCTTGCGGGTGCATCACGGCCTTGGAGTTCCCCTTCTTCTATGAACTCGAAACCATCGTCATCGCAGCCTCCATCCATGGTTCACCTTTCGAGAAGCGATGAGGTCACGCAAGAATAAACGAGATATCAACGCACCTCGGCTCAATGCGGCTTGGAAGAACGATCAAAAACTGGAAATGCCTCACCAGTTCTTCGATCTTTAACGGGCGATGGCGTCGGGAGTGCGATCGACTTCACTGCGGAGAAACAAAAGCTCACCGCCGAAGAGCTGGAGATTTTTAGAAAGAGCAAGACACTAGCTACTAGCGCCGCCTTGGTAAAGACCCTGCATGCAAATTTATGATGGCTGGCAGCGTAGAGAAAGTTAAAACGCTAGGTAACTAGGCCAGTAGAGTTTACCTCTCGTTCTCAATGGAAAAGACTCCACATTCCACACAGAAAGAGCGAAAAGAACGCAAAAGTTCAAATCAAACATGAACCACATCAAATGAAAAGAATTATAGAGCTAGAAACTGAATCTCCCCTTAAGTCTGATCTCTCCAAATGGAACCACCTTTTTTAACTGTCACCGCCACCTTTATGTCAGTCTTGTTGGTGTTCTTTCCTTCCGGAGGCCAAGGATGACCACAGACTGGAGCTTTGAGAACAAAGCCTTCTGGTAGAATGGGACTCACGGGGCGATCAACCAGTGGCGCAATCTTTGGTTTGGGCCTTGCAGCTCGGGGAAGTAAGCTTGAACCAGTGACCGGTGTCGTGAACTTTACGAACGGTTGCTCGATTGCGATCTCAGCATCTGCTAACCTATTTCCAAACAAACCAAATCCTTCGTTAGAATGTGCCAAGCGAGTGACTAAGTGCATAGGATCCAATATATACTATTTCAGCCTCTCGAGAAGCATAGACAAATCATAAAACTAGAAAAATAGAAAACCTTGGAGCTCGAACGGAGGTACTTCTTCGGGAAACGAACGCGTAGAGGAGTCTGTCCATCCTCGAAACCCAGCCTCGGTTCGTCGCGCCCTTTGTCCTCGTGCTCACCGCTCCAGCGCGGAGTTTCTTGCGCAATCGGGGATAGTTGTATTGATGGCTTGTTGGCGGCCATCTCGTTGTGGCGTCGCCCATCTGGCGGGCGCCGGGCAGAGGGATCCTTAGAACCCTAAACCCCAAAACATTGGAGCCCGAACTGTTAGTTCTTTGACTACGTCTGGATGCAAGAAGCAAAGCCGAACATGCACAGGATTGGGGCTATCCTTGCTCAAGCTCTAGGATATTCTATCACAGGCTGATAGACAATCTCCAGAAGATCATCGCTCAGGGAATATTGGGGTACACTGTTCACTATTGAAAGGTTTGAGATAATTGTTTCTTTGCTTGAGAGAGCCGAAGTCAACGGGCGATGGAGAACGAGAAGAAGGTGTGTGTCACCGGCGCTGCTGGCTTCCTGGCATCTTTGAAGCGGCTCTTGGAGGAGAGATATCACGTTGTCGGGACTGTACGCGAGTCAGGTACGTAGAAATGAGAAGGAAGACAAGAATGCGAATTGATTGTAACTGGAAATTGCTTCTCTTGTTGTGATAGAGGAGACTTCCCACCTGTGAAAGCTTCCAGGGGCTAGTGAGAGGCTGGAGCTCAAGAACGCCGACCTTGTCACTGAAGGCGCCTTTGACGATATTGTCCAAGGCTGCCATGGAGTTTTCCATGTCGCGGCTGCCGTGTCTGTGATCTACAAGAAGGATCCCCAGGTAACTTTGCTTGACCCCTTCGATTCAGCTCTCTGCAGCTTTGGTCTACAGCTTCTACCTGTTCTTTGGTTCTTCCAGACCGAGATTGTGGATCCATGCCTGCTTGGAACTCTTAACGTGCTCAATGCTTGCAAAAGATCCACGACAGTCAAGCGAGTGGTGTGCACGTCATCCGTAGGTGCTGTTCGTGTAAGGGACGGCTTCAAGCCCGATGACGTCTTGGATGAATCGGTGTGGAGCTCCCTAGACTACTGCCGTGAGCTTGAGGCAAGTTTCTTATTTCCATAAGCTCATTCTTACAAGATTTTCAAGTCTAGATGTGGTATCCTCTGGGAAAGACTCTAGCCGAGCAAGCAGCACTCGAGTTTGGGAAAGACAACGGCCTAGATGTGATCACAATCTCTCCCAGCTTAATCGTTGGAGAACTTCTCTCGTCCAGCGCCACCACAAGTACTGCCGACATTGTCCGAATGCTCAAAGGTAAAGCCTTTCAATCTCGAGAAAAAAAAAGTTCTTGAGATTCCAAACACCTTGTAGGAGACAAGCGGTGGTTCGATCATGGTGGATACGTCCATCTCGACGACGTTGCTCAAGCTCACCTCCTTGCCTATACAAATCCCAACGCTAGTGGAAGATACGTTTGTTCTGCGATCAACATGAGTGCTATCGAGCTCGCCAGCTTCATGTCCAAGCGTTATCCCAAGCTCCCAATCGCCTCCACCGACGAGTAAGATCACGCAAACAAAAGACTAGTTTTATTTCGTAGCTTTATACTCATGCCTTCGCTTGCCTTCTTGCAGGATCGAGGTTGTCTTTCCGGCAAATTTCAAGGGATTCAGCTCCAGAAAGCTTCGAGACGATCTTGGGCTCCAATTCAAGTCACTGGAGCAAATGTTTGACGATTGCATTGCGAGCTTGGATCGCAAAGGCAACACGAACACACTTTCTCCTCCTTGAATCAAATCTCTCTGATTCAATAGAAGATAAATGTCGAAGAGTAATATCTTTCTCTGTCTCCGCAAGTTCATGAGCTCATGTATGGCAACTGTTTAACTTTGTATTGCTGACATTGCTCCAGATTAGAGGTGTGGTGTCATTGTCGAACCAACAAGTTGGCAAGTCTAGGTTTGTGTTTTTTATTACACTGGCTCGACCAGGTACTAGGAATCGAGATCGTCCGGGGCCGGGCGGACTTATAGCTGATGGTCCTTGACTCCGCCCCCGCCGGCTATTAAAACCTGGAGAAATTGGCAAACCTTGGAGGAAACCATTGGAGCGTAGCAGAAAGCTTTCCACGTCAATAGCTTCAGCAATCTAAGGTCTCCATTTTGTTAGCCATGAGGAATGCTGCTAAGCTTCCACATATTTCCGGAGTAACTATCACATTGTCGTGTTGGACCACCTTGTTGTCCTTAAGCATCTTCGGACGCCTTCATCAGCCTACTAAGGAACAGTGACGGCCGAAGGGGGGAGCACCCAGGCCCAGCCGCTGGAAAGCATCGTGGTGAAGATCTCCAACGTGGAGTCCACGTTCACGGGGTGGTGGTGGGCAGGATCAAGGATGGGTTTCCACACCTCTTGCAGGTCGGGGAGTTTAGCATTGAGACTGGAGGGATCGGTCATCCTGTGTAAACAGGTCGATCAGCCAGGGATAATTGGGAAAGCTGGCGGTCTGCTCAGCGTGAACGTGAGCTTCATGAGCGTGGGGATGACATCGCCCAGGAAGCAGGCAGTGAGGGCAATAGGCGTGGATGAGGAAGGAAGTGCTGCACAGGATCCGGGCCATCCCAACGGTAGGAAGCTTCCTTCTATCACAGGTTGAGAGGCAATCTCTGGAAGATCATTGCTCAAGAGAAGGGAATGACAGCATTGACAAGGTTTGAAAGTAGTTACTGATCATTCTTGTGTGAGAGACCCGAGGTCTTATGGTCAGAGTGTCACTAGTCGTTTTTGGAGGAGGCGTCGTTGGGACTGTGGGCGAACCAGGTATATACTTTTGTGATGGTCACACGACCTTTTACGATATTTTTTATTTGTGTGATATTCAAGGTCAATATCCCATTCCAATTAGAGCTTGATGTCTTTTTTTCTTGAGTTGAGTTTGTTTTGTATTTCTCTTTTGTTGAATCTTTTCTGTGATCTTGATGGATGCCATTCGTATAGAAGCAATTTTTTTTTAAATTCAAAAAGAAAAGCTCTTGCCTAACTAAAGAAGAATAAGTTTTTTAAATTTTTTACAAAGGATCTCTCTTGAAAAATAAAGTTGTTAATAAAAAATTTGTCAATGAGTTTACTAGTAATGAGAAAATAGTATTTCTTCTGAATCTAAATAACTTCAAAACTATAAATGGATAGAATTTATTTCAATCGCAAGAAGTTAATATTTAAAGCTTATATTTATTAATTTTATATTTTAAATTTAAACTAAATTAATTTTATAATAATAAAAACATAAAATGTAAATAGTTGTTAGTTTTTTAGTTGGCTAGCATGAATATAATTTTACAACTTATGTTTCTAGCTCTTTGTTATCTAGTCAATCTTCTTATTTGAATTAGTATTATTTTAAGGTTTTGTATGTAGTATATATTTAATTAAATTTATAGTTTATTATATTAAAAAATAATAATTTTATCTATCTAAAAAATACAATATAAATAAAGCTGAGGACAAAAATTAGATAGTTACATCTATGAGAAAATAATATGATCTTTTAAAGTAATTTTGATTTATATGTAGTAAAATTTAGTTACAAATTATAAAATTAACACTTCATAAAAGTTGTAAGGAGGACAAACTATTTAACTTTCATAATTTCACCAAATAATTATTAAGGATATTATCATATAAAATACTAAATAAAATCAAAAGAAACTTCATTGAAAGAAATGAAAAATACCTATCCTAATAAACAAGTCAGTATAAATTTAAAATGTTTTATTTTGTATTATTTACATGAAAGTACCTCAATTAGTCATTAAGCACTATAAATATTATAAATTAAAAAATTTATATATTTTTATAACTATTTATACTTATATTATCAAGAAGATTTCTTATCTAAGAATTTAAATATTTAGTTTGGTCAAAAATATAATAAAATAAAATTTCTCTGAAAAAAAAAGAATCTTATCAGTTCCTTAAAATTTGTATTATGTATTTTGTGGCTTTTAAATATTAAATTTATTTAAATTTGTGAGGGCCAAATGTACAATTACGATGCCGTATACTAATATTAGGGCCAAGTGTATGGCCACGATGCCGTATACTAATATTAGCATAATGGGATTTTAATAGCCGTCAGATTAGTTTCAATCCAGACCACTCGCTCTTGTATATAAGCTAGGGTTTTTGGGCTAATTGATATGCACATTTTTGTATTCCCTTTCCATATTCCAAGCACTCATATTGGTGGAGGTGAGGGGCACCTTTGATTGTCCCTGAGGAGTGCTTGAATTTAGGATTTTGGTTTAGATCTAGCTTTTGCATCATTTAGATCTAGCTTTTTTTATTTCCTTTCTTTTGTTCTTCCCTTTCAGGATTTTGGTTTAGATCTAGCTTTTTGCATTGTCTAGATCTCCCATTTCCTTCTCGTTTTTTGTCGTTTATCTTCTTTTGCTCTTTCTTCGTCCGTCTTCATGGTAGATCAGCAATCTCCTCCTTTGACTCTAGAGCAGCAGTTGGTCTAATTGCTTGATGCTATGTGCTTGCAATTGAACAACCAAACTCAATTGATAGCGACATTCACGGCACGTGGTCCAACTCGTCCTGCTCTTGGTGCCAATCCTCGCATTCGGCCGGAGTTCTTTCGTGGGAATCCTGGGGATGATGTGTACCATTGGTTCGATCATTTCACGGTGATTGCCACATATCATTCTTGGGATGATGCTCGACATTTGCATGAGTTTCCCACGTGTCTCCAAGAGACGGTATTGCAGTGGTACAATGGATTGAGTGCGGCCACTCGTGAGGATTAGAGTGTTCTTCCGAACGTCTTCAAACGCGCCTTCGGAGATGCCAACGATTGTGATGATGCCTTCCAACAATTGCATCGTCTTCGCCAAGGGCCATCTGAGTCGGTGATGCAATTTGGCATTCGTTTCCGAAGTCTTTTGCTTCGTGTGGAGCCCAATCTGTCGGAGCAGATCAAGCTAGGAATGTTGTGGCCAGCACTTCGTCAAGATCTTGTCGGCCTTATGCATGCACTTGCTCCTACCACCCTTGACAATGCTCTTCGCTTGGCACAACTTTATGAGACGTCACCTCTTCCACTTCTTACTGCATGTCCTTCCGCTCCACTTCCTATGAGTGATGGTCCTGTTCCAATGAAGGTTGATGCTGCTGCTACTCGAGTCCAAGGACAAGGGCAAGAACGTGGTCGTGGCCGTGATGTTTGTTGCTGGGCATGTGATGAAGTTGGTCATACTTATCGGCGTTGTCGGTGCTTTCCGGATTGGTGACCTCCATTTCCTGGGTGGAGACCTTGGCGTCAGCAACGTCCCATTGGTGCTGTTGCGGTGGAAGGTTTGGACACCGAGGTGCATCCGGGAAATGAGGAGTCGCACAAGTAACGGAAGGACCTTGCGCGAATAAGTCAGTGACCCCTCCATCTTTCTTTCAAGAGTATCATCAAGGGGTTCACTTAGCATCGGTTCATCCAGTGTTTACTTTCAAAGCTCATTTTTATAACAAGAGGTCTCTTATTATTCTCTCCGTGTTGGTTGATATAGGTTCGAGTTTATCTTCTATTGCTCGACCTATTGCCACACGTTGCCGTTTACACTTGCGTCATGCGGCGGAACCAGTTTTCATTTTTTATGGCAACGGCCGTACGGATGCCTGTGCATGGGATGAGGTGGACCTGATTGTGCGTATAGGCGATCTCAAGCTTGAGTTGCAGTCATTGCGGGTGGTGCCGAGTCAAGCTTTTGACCTCATTCTTGGTATGGATTGGTTGCAGTGCAATCATGCCAAGTGTGATTTTGAAGCTTCTCCCCCTTGTCTCATACTTCCTTATGTTTCATCCATTCCTCTCACTTCTGTACCTCTTTGTTCATCTACTTCTACCTCTGCTTCCATTACTTTTGTTTCCCCACTATTTCCTCCTATGTTTCCATCTTGTTCTGCTCTTCCCTTTTCCGATCCCTCCGACGATCTTTGTGTTGCAGCAGTGGACCGGCTCATGAAAGCGTATTCTGATCTCTTTGAATTTGACCTATCGTGTGGGGCCAAGATTGCCACATGTCATCCAATTCCAACCGGGGATGCTTGTCCAATCAAGGTTCCTGTTCGTCGTCGGTCACCCAAGGAGATCAAGATTTTACGTGCAAATGTCAAGGAGATGTTGGAGAAGGGTGTTATTCGGAAGTTGCAGAGTCCTTGGGCATGTGAACCTCATCTTGTGACGAAGCCTAATGGGAGTATTCGTTTCTACATCGACTATCGTCCGTTAAACGAAGTGACGATCCCAGATGTGTATCCTCTTCTGCACATGCTGATCTCTTGGATCGTCTGGGGCAAAGTTGTTGGTTCACCAAGCTAGATCTTGCTTCTGGGTATTGGCAAGTACCGATGGCCGAAGAAGATATTCCTAAGATTGCTTTTTGTACACCATTTGGTTTGTGGTACTAGCAAGTACCGATAGCCGAAGAAGATATTCCTAAGACTGTTTTTCGTACACCATTTGGTTTGTACGAATTCTTAGTGATGCCGTTTGGTTTGAACAATGCTCCAGCAACTTTCCAGCGGATGATGGACGAGGTTCTTTGTGATATGCCAGAGGTGACAGCTGACTTCATTGATGATGTCTTGATCCACTCGTAGGGGACGTGGGAGGAACACGTTCATGATGTTTGTAAAGTGTTGGATCGGCTACGCGATGTTGATTTAAAGCTGAAGCGGTCGAAGTGCGTGTTTGGATCCAAGGACACAACTTATCTTGGGTACTGTATTTCTCGTGAGAGTTTGCAAGTTGGTCCTGACAAACTTGTGGCTGTTCTAAAGTTCCCTACTCTAAAGTGTGTGAATGATGTGCAATGCTTCTTGGGCAAGGTGCAGTATCTCGGGTGTTTTGTGGATCATCTTTCTGATCGCACTACACCATTGTGAGCGTTGCTAAAGTCATCAACGTCATCTTTCATCTGGTCTCTGGATTGCGAGCGGGCGTTCGGGGATCTCAAAGAGTTATTGACAACTCCTCCGGTTTTGGCATATCCTGACTACACTCGACCTTTTATTTTGCGTGTGGATGCTTCTGACATTGGTCTTGGAGGTGTGTTAATGCAAGAGAGCTCAAGTGTGCCTGGTTAGCGCCATCCCATTGCATATATAAGCCGTACATTACAACCAGTGGAGATGAACTACTCCACGACAGAAAATGAGTGTTTAGCAGCAGTTTGGGGTTTCGAGAAACTTTATGCATATCTACATGGTTCTCGGACGTTACTTGAAGGTGACCATGCTGCTGTTACTTTGTTATTAAAGCGGAAGAACCTGGTTGGTCGTACTGCTCAGTGGCCTTTGAAGCTTCAGATATATGATTTTGATGTTGTTCACCGCCCAGGGAGTTCTATGGCTGATGCTGATGCCCTTTCTCGAGCTCCTCTTCCTTCTTCACTCTCTTCTCATATTTCTGATGAGCCTGTCGTTCCAGCATCTGTGGATTTTTTAAACAAGGATTTTGTGTTGTCAGCAGTTGCTATACTTGACGTTCAGTGTCCACAAGGTGCAGAGCAAGATCTAGCTTCGCTTGATGAGGTTCGCGAGGCTCAAAAGATTGAGCCATGGATTCGAAAGCTTCGAGATGGGTTTGAGAATCTTGCA